TCACTGAGTTGTGCATGTTTAGCTATAATTGATCAATATCTTATTACGTCAAGAAAAGTTTCTCTTCGACATAAAAGTCAAATTAAATGGAGCCATCGAATAGTATTGATTGTTATTATTCTTTTCTTAATACATAGTATTCCATCATTTCTTTCCTATGATATTTCACCTATCAATAACATATGCACATATACAAATATAATATTTGCTATTTATGTTCCAATATCTAGTTTTGTATTTTTATCTCTGATACCTATCAGTATATTGATCATATTTGGTTGTTTAACTTATCGAAATATTCAACAAATTAGAAATCTTAGCGAATATCATTTTGATCGTCAATTAACAAAAGCAATTATGATGCAAGTGATATTTATCATTATTAGTCAAACGCCTTATACTATTTATAATGCATACATGTTATTTGGAATGGGTGGAAATAAAGATGCAAAACGAATAGAAATAGAAAATTTTGCTTTTGCAATTACTGGACTTATGGCTTATGAATATTATGCTGTATGTTTATCTTTGCTTTGAGAATTTTTTTGATAATTTCCATCTATTTCTAGAGTGGATTTTATGTATTTTTATTTACATCAAAAACTTTTTATCGTATAGTTAAAAAACGAATTTTCTTTTGGCGAACAATTAATCAAATTGACCCTCTTACAATATCAAGAAATAACAACATACCGGACCTATCACAACAATAATAAAATGAATTCATTCTAATTTAATCTTATTATATTCTAAATATCATGAAAGTACTTATAAAAATATGTGAAGATCATTGTAACTTTTCGATTATCAAATCATTTTATATGTCCAAGAGGAAATCAATCAATGATGATTCAAAAAGAACTTTTTCTTTGGCAAATGTTACCTAAAATCTCACATGATTGAAAGCGATATGCACAAAAAAAAGTTCTGAATTCAGAATTTTTAGACGTTAAAAAAAAAGTAATCTCTCGACGTAATTCGCATTCATAAGTAGGCAAAGATAAAAGGAAACTTTCACTGGAATATCTCAAGCATTCAAAATGGAAAAATATGATGCTTAGAATGAATTTAATTAGAGAAAAGTCGTGATTTTTCAATGTTAACCAATACATTTCAACACTTCTATAGAAAGTGCCGTCATTACGAGCATCAATTAAAACTATTCTTCGATTTGCTAATACGGACGTCTTACGACATGCTCGGGCAACACTCATGTTTCCTACTGCTATCCAAGCAGTACTGTGACGATTCTTGATAGAAGACATATATGTACTAATGGAACTACGCCTATATTTATTTCTTCCTTATATCAATCGCATTGTTCTGATACAAGACGCGCGTTTATATACTCGTCCACACAGAAGAGGGCGCAAGAAAAATAGCATATCAAAGTACACCAGCGTACAGTGAATACCAGAGAGATTGTCACAATTACTAGATGGATCATACGATTCAGTACTATTGAGAGTAGCGACATTAGCTTCACCAGTAACTAATATTTTCCCATTTGATAATAGGAATATTCTATGATATGCTCGTTCAACATTCATATTTACTATCCTTTTGTATATTCTAAATAGGAAGAATAAAAATGGAAGGAGCGCATTAAAACTTCTTAACTATCTTGACATATTAACCTATGGGTAGTCGTGATTCACTGTTAACTTTTATCAAATAAGTATCTGGATTAACTAACATACTGTTCTTTGAATTTGATAGATAGAAAAATAAATTTGCAAATCAAAGTTAATTAATGGAAACTCGCTGCTTCACATAAATGAGTAAATAAGCAAGCCATTTGACACCTATAGAACATTTACTATAGTCTGACGTGCAATCAATGAACAGGTGACATTTTCACAATGAAACTGTTTACTAAGAAATAAAATCGTTTGAATCAACTTCGTATTTTCTCCAACTGCTATCGTTTGGTTAAAACGAAGAGAAACAGAAAATATATTTGTCCTTCATACATAATTCTGAGAAGTATTACTTAGTTAGTAGAAATGAGCTCTATTTCGAATAAAATATAATAAACTAGGAAAAAATTTTATGCTATATAAATTCGCTTTCTTTATTCGGGCGTGATATTAATTTCAATTAAATAAAAAATTCTTTTTTCGTCAAAATTTGTCTGTTCAAACATTATTAACTGACGTACTTTATATTGTTATTATTTTCTTTTCTTCATCAGTACATATCAGAGATGGACAGCTCTGGTATGTCCCGGCTCCGACTCCAACCCGACCCCATTGCTATGCTGCTCGGGCCGGTTCCAGCTCCACCCGTGATATTATAGATCTCCGCTCCGGCTCCGAAATCAAATATTTTTGTGTTGATGTTCTTTTTATTAAATGTTTTCAGGATTTCAATTTTAATGCAGATGACACCCAGGGTTGCCAAACCTCCTGATTTGACCAGGAGTCTCCTGATTTTTGTACTTTTCTCCTGATCGAAAATCTCCTGATTTTATTTTTTCTCTCAGTTCACAATCAACGACATTTTAAGCTAACAGAAGGTTAAAGAGAAGAGGAAAGAGATAATAAGAAACTTATCAGTGATTGCCGGTTACAATGACAAATAAGAAAATTTGTTGTCTTTCTTTCTTCTTTTTGTCACAGGAAAAGTCTTTGAATTAAAACAAATAATCTTACACATCCTAATCTAAGTCAAGATAATAAAATAATACACAAGTAATGT